CATTGGCCGTTTTAAAATAAACAAATAAAAACAACAATTTAATAACAGCATTTAAAAAAGCAATTGCATAGTAACGACATAGCAGTAACATAGCACTAAAAATGTGGAATAAAGAAATAATATTACATAGTTATAATACAAAATGCGATTTAAAAAAGAATATAATAGATGAATGAGAAATGTTTCAATGAGTCAGTTAGAGAGGTCATTAAATAATTGTTGTTTTAGTTTAGTTTTGAATATATTTTCAGAAGTAGATAGTTTTATTTTATTAGGAAGATTGTTCCACAAATTAGAACCAGAGTAGGCGAAGCTATGTTTTTGGAAAAAAGTTGTATGTGGGATCGGTAAATTAAGACGACGATTTAATTTTATGTTAAAAGAAAATAGGTCTGATAAGTAAGAGGGGGCTGTTTCGTGGAATATTTTATATTAAAAAAGTTATTTAGTATATATCATCTTTTTATTTAATGGAAGTATTTTAGTTGTAATAAAAGAATCAAGACTACCAGACAAGCCAGTAACCAGTTTTATAGCCTTTTTTTTGTAATGTTTAGAAGAGGAAGCTGTTTAGTTATAAAGCTGCCGCTCCACACTATAGAGGCATAATCCAACCTAGATTGAATAAAAGCTTCATAAAAAAATAGCCTGCTCCTAAAGTCCAGAAAGTTCTTTATCATTGCTAGTTGAAAAGTTGTCTTTAATAAGGACATTCTTAGAAGATGAATAAGATCGGACCAGGTGAGGTTGTGATCTATAATCAACCCTAGGCATTTGTAACTGTTAACCTGTTCAATGTTTGTATTGTCTATAGTAATGCGTAATGAGGTGGATGGAAGACGAAGGCGTTTCTGATGAGTAGTAATAATCATTGACTTGGTTTTATCGGGGTGAAGTTTAATTTTGTTAAATTTTGTCTAAGTAGCAAGCTGATTGGCACATGTTTGAAGTTTGTAACTGAGTGACGCAGCACTATCTGCAAAGACATGAAGTATCATCAGCAAACATCTCGCACTGACCTGCGTCGATGTGCAAAGCAAGATCATTAATGTATGTAAGCCCTGCTAGGGAGGGGGGGATAACTAAAATCTATTTAACCCTTCCCTAGGCTTATCTAACTAGCTGTCCGGTCAGAGCAAGCCCGGCTAAACCCAGACTGGTTAATACCCTAACCTTAGTCTAAAATAAAAACAAAAAGCTTTTAACAATTAATTAAATTTATTACATGGAACCAATCAAAATAAGAAAAGATGAAAAACTACAGAATACACAAAACACGACTAAACAAAACTCAACGGGACAAAACAATATATACAAAACAATTCAACGTAACAAAACACCCAGCCAAGTTGCACAAGCAACCTCACTGGAAGGGGGGGGGGGGGGAGAGAGAAAAGGAAAACATAAGAAAAATGCATGGAAATATATATACATGAATAGATACACATGTTTAAATACTAATAACTTCTGCTAGAGATATCTAAAGCCTCGGGTAAAACTAATCCCTACTATTAAAATTCTAAAAGCAATTCTCAAAAACACAACTAACCACTATCTAAAAAAAAACAGCAACTTAAAAATAACGTGTAAAACAAATTCATTGTAGAACCAATCTTTCCTACACCAGGAGCAGCCCGAAGCCATTGGTCTACCTATACAACATCCATATTGATAACATTGAAGTTAACACACTCCGCTAGGGCCCCAATGAAGGCCGACACCAAGCAAGTGACTCAACATGACGTTGCACGAAACAGCACACACATTAATTTTAAACAACCTAAAACTCGAGGCAACTAAAATATACTCATTACCGTCTTAAACAACCGACTATTGACTAAGCCAATCCTAGTAATCGCGGGGAACCCACAATAACAACACATCATAATAGAGTAAAACAAATAAATGCACACACGCATTCGCACCAGTTTAGGAAACACTCCTAAACACACTGACCTAAACCACGTGGTCCGAAAACACACGCCAAGGGTTTAGAAAATACACAAATACATTTTAAATCTTTCAAAAAGAACACACCACGTGCATACCAGACATGCCGATGCTCACTATCTCGTTTTAGACGAAAGTGAAAGAAAATGAAAGAAAACGAGAAACATCGGCAGTCGCATTCATACAAATCACATAAAGATAAAATATAAAAAAAACAAAATACCTCCAACGCACAAAGCGCGACCACAGACAACTGACCTGACCTACATTCTTGCGGTCAAAAAGAAAGTCAGTTTATATACTGACCGCTTCGGGCGGAAGGGGAACCCTTCTCAATTCGTGGAATTTGTAAGGAATTAGTTTTTTTAAGAAATATGGTGTGATCAATAGAATGAAAGGCTTTTCTGAAATCGACGAACAGCGTGCCACAGAGTAGGTTTTTGTTAATATTTTTAAGCCAGTTTTCATTCATCTTAATCAAAGCAGTGTGACAAGAATGGAAACTTTCTAAACCCAGACTGATTACTATGGATAAGCTTATGCTTTTCTTGGTAGTTTGACATGCACTTGTTTATATGTATTTCTAGTGGCTTGGAGAGGGAAGAAAGTATAGAAATTGGCCTGTAGTTATTGGCATCTTGGATGTTACCTTTTTTTGTGTAGTGGTATAACCTTAGCATGCTTAAATGTTTCGGGTAATATTGCTTGGCAATACAGAGGTTATAGATATAGGTTGAAACTTCAGAAATTATTGGAGCTGAAATCTTCAATACTTTATTTGAGATATCAAACGAAGTTGTAGACGGTTTAAGAGATCTTAGGCTAACATAAACTTCATGAACAGTGAGCAGCGGAATTATCAGCTCTGTCCCACCACGGTGAGCAGAATTACAAAAATGTTTAAGCTCCTCACTGATTGTGTAATCAGCATCTGTGTTGAGCGCGCTACAGATGATAAAAATTGATTGTTGAAGTCATGAGCAGATATTTGGCAATGTCCAGCTGTATTGCATGTGCGTTTTTTTTCTAATTATTTGATTTATGGCAGTCCAGATAGATTTGGAATTAGGTTTGCCTGACAATAACTTATTAAAATACTCTTTCTTCGAACTACGCACGAGCAGTTTGACATAATTTCGTTGCTTACAAAAGTCCTCAGTAGTTCCATTACGTTTAAGCCAGTCTCTTTTATTAATTGCAGATTCGATATTGTTGTTAAACCAAGAAGGTTTGTATGTAGTCTTAACCCTTTTAGAGATTTTAGGTATATGTTTGTCATATATAGTATAGAAAATACGAAGCCATTCATAAATGGCTTGCTTTAATCTAGCAATGCACTAGAAATAAATGATTTCCTTTAAATATATAATAACACACTACTCTTTAAATAACTATAAAGAAAAGCGTGGGTCACTTCAAAAACAGGTCATAAAGTAACCCTCGCTTTTCTTTATAGTTATTTAAATAGTAGTGTGTTATATATTAAAGAAAATCACGTGTTTTATTACATAAAAGTTAGTTATGAAAACGTTTTGTGCAATTTTTATTTAATATATGTTCACATTGGGAGGTGAAAAACGGCGAAAACTGTCAAAATATAAGCTATTTGTTCAGCACGATTACTCTATACTCTGTATACGAAAAAGTAAAAATGTATCCGTGTTTTTTTCTGTCAAGTAATGTGCATCAAAGTACAAAAACTATATCGATTTTCTTTTGTGTTTCATTTGAGATTGTGTTGAGCCAAGGGAGGCCTTTTATCCTTCGCAGACACATAGTTTGGATATAATGCAGTGTTCTGCTGGTATTACTTTCCAGCATTAGCTGCCACACACACAGAAAGAAGCTAACGACAGTACGTTTGAAAAAAAATCTGCATTTGGTAATGGATTAGAACGATCGCCAAATTATTTGCATGGTTGAAACGGCTTGCTTGGTTTTAGATATGTTTTAAATCCAAAAAGAAAAGCAGGCTGAAATCGGAGTAAATGGTCTCAATGCAGAGGCATAGCGAGTGAAGGGGCGGGGGTGCGGATGGTACGGGGTTACACCATTTTAGTGGGGTGACACAAAAATTGCAAAATATATAGAGGAAAAAAACGATAATTTCAATTACATAAATGAGTAATTAGAGTTTAAAAGTCTTATTATTAAGAGCAAAAATGACAAATCCCGACAAGGGTGGGGTGACACGATGACGTAAACCTACTAACGATATCGAAAACAAAACTACATCGTTAGTATTATCATCGGGCGGAGAAGGGGGTAGCACCAACTAAACGTTAAAAAAATTGCCTGAAGAAAAATGTTTTCTTGATAATTGTAATAACTGACACGCCAATCCTCGTATATATATATATATATATATATATATATATATATATATATATATATATATATATATATATATATATATATATATATATATAATGGAAAGAATGCAGCAACACGCTTTTTTTATTTACAAGCCAAAAACTAAAACAAAAAAAACACAGACCTCCACAGTCTGTAAATAAATCGACACAAGAAAAGGTTAATCATCACAAGCTATTCTTACACTAACATACCCTATTAACATACGATCGTACATTCGTACACCACATTCGCAACGTATCAACTAAAATGTACTTTAAGACAACACTCACAAATCATACACAACATTCATCTCGTATAAACCAACAGTGACAGCTAAGTAAGCTACAATCTCACTCACCCCTAAGTCTTGTTACAGTAGACACGTACCGTATCTCTGTTTTCTGGTCGTACTGTCCGGTCGTGTTTCGTTGTGTCCGTATATATACGCTACCACTAGAATCTAAGAATGTTCCTGAAGGTCATATCCTAGCTGTAAAAGTGTCAGTCCGTCTTCCCCCGTAGGTTACCTGTTGCTGCTATTCCCGGCCCAGCATCCTATTGTCACGCCCCGGTCAGTTTCAGAAAGTTTAGAGTGTCGTCAACTGTAAGCCGTTAGGGTTAGGGTTAACCCTAACCCTAACCATCTGATGCCTCTCATGTCTTCTAGGCTAGTTGTTAGTGTCTATCTGATGCTTATGTCTTCTAGGCCAGTTGTTAGTGTCCATCTGATGCCTCTCATGTCTTCTAGGCCAGTTGTTAGTGTCCATCAGATGCCTCTCATGTCTTCTAGGCCAGTTGTTAGTGTCCATCTGATGCCTCTCATGTCTTCTAGGCCAGTTGTTAGTGTCCATCTGATGCCTCTCATGTCTTCTAGGCCAGTTGTTAGTGTCCATCTGATGCCTCTCATGTCTTCTAGGCCAGTTGTTAGTGTCCATCTGATGCCTCTCATGTCTTCTAGGCTAGTTGTTAGTGTCCATCTGATGCCTCTCACGTCTTCTAGGCCAGTTGTTAGTGTCCATCTGATGCCTCTCATGTCTTCTAGGCTAGTTGTTAGTGTCCATCTGATGCCTCTCATGTCTTCTAGGCCAGTTGTTAGTGTCCATCTGATGCCTCTCATGTCTTCTAGGCCAGTTGTTAGTGTCCATCTGATGCCTCTCATGTCTTCTAGGCTAGTTGTTAGTGTCCATCTGATGCCTCTCATGTCTTCTAGGCCAGTTGTTAGTGTCTATCTGATGCCCCTCATGTCTTCTAGGCTAGTTGTTAGTGTCCATCTGATGCCTCTCATGTCTTCTAGGCCAGTTGTTAGTGTCCATCTGATGCCTCTCATGTCTTCTAGGCCAGTTGTTAGTGTCCATCTGATGCCTCTAATGTCTTCTAGGCCAGTTGTTAGTGTCCATCTGATGCCTCTCATGTCTTCTAGGCTAGTTGTTAGTGTCCATCTGATGCCTCTCATGTCTTCTAGGCCAGTTGTTAGTGTCCATCTGATGCCTCTCATGTCTTCTAGGCCAGTTGTTAGTGTCCATCTGATGCCTCTCATGTCTTCTAGGCCAGTTGTTAGTGTCCATCTGATGCCTCTCATGTCTTCTAGGCTAGTTGTTAGTGTCCATCTGATGCCTCTCATGTCTTCTAGGCTAGTTGTTAGTGTCCATCTGATGCCTCTCATGTCTTCTAGGCCAGTTGTTAGTGTCCATCTGATGCCTCTCATGTCTTCTAGGCCAGTTGTTAGTGTCCATCTGATGCCTCTCATGTCTTCTAGGCCAGTTGTTAGTGTCCATCTGATGCCTCTCATGTCTTCTAGGCCAGTTGTTAGTGTCCATCTGATGCCTCTCATGTCTTCTAGGCCAGTTGTTAGTGTCCATCTGATGCCTCTCATGTCTTCTAGGCCAGTTGTTAGTGTCCATCTGATGCCTCTCATGTCTTCTAGGCCAGTTGTTAGTGTCCATCTGATGCCTCTCATGTCTTCTAGGCCAGTTGTTAGTGTCCATCTGATGCCTCTCATGTCTTCTAGGCTAGTTGTTAGTGTCCATCTGATGCCTCTCATGTCTTCTAGGCTAGTTGTTAGTGTCCATCTGATGCCTCTCATGTCTTCTAGGCTAGTTGTTAGTGTCCATCTGATGCCTCTCATGTCTTCTAGGCTAGTTGTTAGTGTCCATCTGATGCCTCTCATGTCTTCTAGGCCAGTTGTTAGTGTCCATCTGATGCCTCTCATGTCTTCTAGGCTAGTTGTTAGTGTCCATCTGATGCCTCTCATGTCTTCTAGGCTAGTTGTTAGTGTCCATCTGATGCCTCTCATGTCTTCTAGGCCATTTGTTAGTGTCCATCTGATGCCTCTCATGTCTTCTAGGCCAGTTGTTAGTGTCCATCTGATGCCTCTCATGTCTTCTAGGCCAGTTGTTAGTGTCCATCTGATGCCTCTCATGTCTTCTAGGCCAGTTGTTAGTGTCCATCTGATGCCTCTCATGTCTTCTAGGCCAGTTGTTAGTGTCCATCTGATGCCTCTCATGTCTTCTAGGCCAGTTGTTAGTGTCCATCTGATGCCTCTCATGTCTTCTAGGCTAGTTGTTAGTGTCCATCTGATGCCTCTCATGTCTTCTAGGCTAGTTGTTAGTGTCCATCTGATGCCTCTCATGTCTTCTAGGCTAGTTGTTAGTGTCCATCTGATGCCTCTCATGTCTTCTAGGCTAGTTGTTAGTGTCCATCTGATGCCTCTCATGTCTTCTAGGCCAGTTGTTAGTGTCCATCTGATGCCTCTCATGTCTTCTAGGCTAGTTGTTAGTGTCCATCTGATGCCTCTCATGTCTTCTAGGCTAGTTGTTAGTGTCCATCTGATGCCTCTTGTTTTGTTTGTAGTGTCATCAGCCAGTCAATAACTAGGTTTATAATAGCGGGACCTGAACACACCCTTGTTTGACTCCAGTCTTAATCATGAAAGACAATGCCACTATGAGACTTTCCAGATGTTGCTTCTGTCTTTTCTTACTTTCTGTTTTTGTTTATATAGCAAGTATTTTTTGTTTTACAAAACTTCAACCCTCAATTTGGAGGACCAGGATTCTAGATGTCGTCTGACCACTACTCACAGGATTCTAGCTGTCGTCTGACCACTACTCAGAGGATTTTAGCTGTCTGACCACTACTCACAGGATTCCAGCTGTCGTCTGACCACTACTCACAGGATTCTAGCTGTCGTCTGACCACTACCCACGCAGATCTTTCCAGCTTGGCTGAACTAGCCAGGAGTTAATGTTCACCCTGGTATAGAACTAGGGGGGGGGGGGGGAGGGTCGTGTGTGCTTCGGGATTCACAATCTGATAAAGTCTCTAGCAACGGATGACAGATGTTTATAGTTTTTCTCAGGAGCGTCATGACATGGTCTCTCTCTCTCTCTCTCTCTCTCTTTCTCTCTCTCTCTCTCGATCTCGACGTGTCAAATTACTATTTTAATTTATAAAACCTTAATTTCTAATAAGTAGAAAATAAAATATACACATTTTTAAATAATAAGCTTTCAGATGCGTTTGAGATTTTAAGTAAAACTTACCATCTTTAATAAAAGCATCAGTCGCTAAAATGTGTAAAAGATTAAATTCCCGAACCCTGTCTACGCCACTGATCTGCCGCCGTCTGTTTTATCGGCCAGCCGTTCGACCGACATTTTCAAGGTCTAGCTGGATTTTAGTCGCGCCAGAAACCTAGTTAACAGCCAGCGATCAGCTGATTGTCTAAAGGTGCGTTCAGAACACTCTACCTGTGTTATCTGTTTGCGTCGTAAGAATAGCATCAATATGGCGGTCTCTTGTTTACAATGTTGAATTCACGGGCTCATGATTTCCCGGTTGGGGTTAAGGATATGACTAACAAAAAGCTTGACCTGGTTTTCATCTCTGATGTTTTGCTGGCTAACAAGCATGAATTCCGCCACTACTGGAAGAACTTGGCGGATTAAGTATAGTTGGTGGGCAGAGGCGTATACAGGTTTTCGGGCTATGGGGAACGACGAGTCGAGAAAAAGGCGCCATATATATATATATATATATATATATATATATATATATATATATATATATATATATATATATATATATATATATATATATATATATATATATATATATATATATATATATATATATATACTAGCTGCATCCCGTGCTCCGCCACGGTAAATCCTTTTAAAATGTACCAACTTTGGAACAGAAAAAAACAAACAAAAACACAACACAAACACAAACAAAACACAACCACAACCACAACACAACCACAACACAACCAAACACAACCACAACACACGGTAAATCTTTTTTAAATGTACCAAGTTGGGAACAGAACAAAACTAAACACAACACAAACGAAAAACCCTTCCCCCCCCCGCAAATTTTTTCCAACCCACATTGGCGCCCCCTAAGGTCGGCGCCCTGGGACATATGCCCCCCCCCCTTGCTACGCCTCTGCTATAAAACCCCTAGCTTGTCCGCAAACTGAAAGATAGAATAATAATTAGTAAACAACACGTTCAGTGTATAAAATAAATTAAAGGCATAATTTAGAATATCCGTGTTTTACCCACCATATTGCACTTTATAAATTCATGCATTTTTTTCAGTACTTTTTAAAATTTACTATAAAGTTTCATGACTAAAACCATTGCGCACCTAATGAACGTGATGACTTAATATAATAATGGAGAAGTGTTAATTAAAAATTATAATTAGTAAACAGTACATTCAGTGAATAAAATAAATAAAAGATAGCCTTTTATCAATCAATGCTAATTATAATATTCCAACAATAATGTACTCTTACACGTCTGCATAATTTGCATTCACATTTTGCTAATTATATTATTCCAACAATTATTCCGTCTTGCACATTTTGCATTCACATGTTTAGCGTGAGTTCAATTTATTTTTAAAATACTTCCCTTGGCAAAAGTACTAAACAGTTTAATTAGATTTTTCTAACCTACTGTTATTATTTTATTAAAATGTATCCACTTTTTCTAGGAATATTAACGAAAACGATATTTGACATTGATACTTTTAATATGTTTTAGCAATGTGCGTGTATTTAATATTCTCTTTACGTTATGCAAAATTGTACAAACAGTGGAAATTATAAAATAGCTCTATTTCCTTATATAAACAAACCCTACCCTATTTCTTATAATAAGACACTGCGGTGCACTGAAAAGCACTGCATGGTGCGATATATACTTTTATGGTTTCAAAATCTATAGCGATGACAGAAGTATATGTATATATATATATGCGACATATACTCAAAATAAGATGGCCAGACAAAATACCAAACAAAGACCTGTGGCAAATTTTAAAACAACAGCTGATAGAGAAAGATATTAAGGCCCGTAAATGGGGATGGATCGGACACACGTTAAGAAAAGAAAAAGAAAACATCGCAAAACATGCATTGGACTGGAATCCCCAGGGGAAATGGTGGGTGGGCCGGCCAAGGAAAACATGGAAGAGAACGGTTGAGGAGGAGGCGAAAACAGCTGGGCTCTCATGGGCACAGATCAGAGGAGCAGCCCAAAACCGAGTCCGCTGGAGATGTGTGGTTGCAGCCCTTTGCTCCCCAGGGGCTACAAAGGAGTGATTATATATATATATATATATATATATATATATATATATATATATATATATATATATATATATATATATATATATATATATATATATATATATATATATATATATATATATATATATATATATATATATATATATATATATATATATATATATATAATATAAGCGGGCTGTGTCTGTCCTTCCTTCCTTCCTTCCGTCCGTCATCGCTATAGATTTTGGGACTATAAAAGTAAACTACGCACCATGCTGTGCTTTTCAGTGCAGCGCAGTGTCTTATTATAGCTACTAGAGTAGGGTTTGTTTATATAGAGGCATAGAGCTATTTTATAAATGCCACTGTGTTTACTCTTTTGCATAACTTAAATAAAATATTAAATACACGCACATGGCTAAAACATATTTAAAAAATTAATGTTAAATATCATTTTCGTTTATATTCCTAGAAAAAATGGATATATTTTAATAACATAAGTAGAAAAATCAAATTAATTTAACTCTTTTCTAATTTTGACAAAGGAGGTAATTTAAAAATACATTAAACTCACGCTAATAAAAAATGTGAATGCAAATATACGTTCATCATAGAAGGAATTAGTGTTGCAATAATATAATTAGCAAAATGTGAATGCAAATTATTCGGATGTGTAAGAGGAAATTATTGTTAGAAAATTATAATTAGCATGGATTGATAAAAGGCAATCTTTTATTTATTTTATTCACTGAATGTAGGCCCTACTATTTATTACTTATAATTTTTAATCAACTATTCAGCACTATTATAGGCGCGTCATCACGTTCATTAGGTGCGCAATGGTTTTAGTTATGAAACTCTATTGTAAATTTTTAAGATTTAAAGTACTGGAAAAAAAATGCGTGAATGGATAAAGTGAAATATTGTAGGTAAAACACGGATATTTTAAATACTGCCTATTATTTATGCTGTTTTCTAATTATTATTCTATCTTTCGGGTTTTATAGGAGAGGCGTAGCGATGGGGGGGGGGGGGGGGGGGGCATATGTCCCCGGGTGCCGACCTTAGGGGGCGCCAAAGTGGGTTGGAAAAAATTTGCGAGGGGGGGGGGTGGTGGAAATCGAAAGTTTTAGGGCGGGGGGGCGGGAGGGGGAAAGGGATGCAAATCGAAAGTTTGAGGGGGGTGCAAATCACCGGAAAGGGCGCGATTTGGCGCTACGGGCTAGACTGTGAGCAATATGGCTTTATGATTGCATTTAAATTGTGTTTATGTTATGAGTGTTGTGTTTGTTTTTTTGTTTTGTTTTGTATTTTTTTTTTTTTTTTTTTTTTTTTTTTTTTTTTTTTATTTTTTTTTTGCGTTCGTTTATGTTGTGTTTAGTTTTGTTCTGTTCCCAAGTTGGTACATTTAAAAAAGATTTACCGTGGCGGAGCACGGGATGCAGCTAGTATATATATATGCGAACTTAGGATACTCATTTCTTGATGATCGAGTTTAAGCAGATTTTTTTGTTATTAAAACAAATTACAACATGTCATGTGTGTGAGTGATTTTGTCTGTTTTGAAAATCTGTTTTATTTTAATCTTTGCCAAAAGACCTTTTAGCCTAAAGTCGGTCAAAAGAATATAAAGCATGAAAGTTTTGTATAAGTAATGGTGTCTCGTGTTATGTTTATTTTACTTTTTTTTTTATTATTATTAATGTTAACTACATTTCGTTTTTACATGTCATTCTTTAGTAAGAAATTTTTTTTAAAAGTAGTAAGAGAAGTAATTGCTTTTTTATGTTGTTTAGTACAAATATATTTTAAAAAACTTATGAGCACCCATATTTGACTATTTTAAAAAGGGAAATAAGTCATGGAAGTGGTTTGAACGTTAGCATATCTTTCACACTATAGCTCATATGTATATTTTTTTACGCAACAGCATGTGTTAGCTACTGTATAGCATCACTACTGTAGCAGATCTGTTTGTTACTTACAAAACCACGATCAAGGTGTGCGAAAAGCATTATTTATAAAATAAAAATTCATTGGTGTTTTTTTTGGTCGGATTGGGCCCCTAAACGTCCTGCCCCCCCCCCCCCCCCCCCCCCGCGCATTGCGGGATCTGGCGGCATGGTAGTTCCGCCCCTGATCAAATGACGTCGCGATAAAAATCGCTAAACAAAAAAATAATATTAAACAATTTATTATTGGGGATTCTAGTGCAGTAAAGATGCAACAAATATTTCTGCCTAATAATATTATTCAGCGTCTTATAGCAGACATGTCTGTAGATGT